GAACCTAAATCCTTCAGAGTTCATTAGCAATAAAATTTATTTCTTCATCTCCACTGGTTTCCTTCCACCTACAAATCAACAATATGCACTTGGCATTAGATGCACAATCTTTTTTTATTCATTTTCACTCATCTGTCTCCTTCTGACAACTGTCACACCTGTTCCTGCTCTGAGAACCTGATGAGAATGAATGCCCGGGCTTTGGTCATGGGTCAAATAAGAGTTCACAAATGTAGAAATGTGATTAATGAACATTCTTGTATTTTAGAAGAGTGTTTCCAAGCACCATTTCAGGTGATATTTTTTGAATGGCTTTCCCTTAAACATATACACACATACACATATACATTTCAGAAAGAGTTCTCTTCATGAATATTTTTTATCTAAATAAAGGACACACGTTTCCATATTTCATTATTTGTTACATGTCTCTTGGTAACAGGAAGCTAAAGATTATAGGGACACTATGTTGAGTAAATAGAGACCCCAGACCAAATCCAAATTACCACAGCTCACACTAACCAGTGCACAATGCATCTATGTTAGTGATGTTATGATCTACATCGGTCATGCTATGCTCTGTAAATATCACTCTGTGACATGATATAATTTTATAGGGCAATGAAGTTGCATTGTAACCCATATTTTAGGTGTCAAAACATATTTCAAACAGAAAAATGAGGTAAAAATCTCAATGTAGCTATACACATATATATATCTGTGGTTGTGAATGAAATAAATTCTAATTGTTTGACTCATTTTTTAACTTTCCAGAATTTTTTTTATGTTATAAAGCTACAAACTCTTCGACTTTCAGTTATCTGGAATGATAAATAAATGTGTGTGTTCTGACTGCACCCACCAACCATTTCTCATTATCATTCCCTTACCTGGGACCATCCTGTTCTCTGAGACAAAACAATATTGAATTTAGGTCAGTTACCAACTCTAAGTTTCAAGTGAAAAGAAGAGTAACATGTCTCTTACTTCTATCAATATCTAGACACGATTAAGCTTAGAGAGGAAGGCATGTTGAAAGCTGAGACAGGCATAAAGTTAGGCTTCTTGTGGCAAACAGTGAGCCAAATTGCTTATGCAAGGGAAGAAGGTTTTGAAGAAAATTAAAAGTGCTCCTTCAGTGAACACATGAATAATAAGAAAGAAAAACAGCCTTACTGCTGATAAGGAGAAAGTTTTGGTGGTCTAGATGATAAAATCAGCCACAACACAACATTCTCTTAAGCCAAAGGCTAATCCAAAACAAGGCCCTAACTCTGTTCTATTGCATGAAGGCTGTCAGAGATGTAGAAGCTGCAGAAGAAAAGTCTGAAGGTGGAAGAGGTTGGTTCATGAGGCTTAAGAAAAGAAGCCATCTCTATAATATAAAAGTTCAAAGTAAAGCAGCAAATGCTGATGGAGAAGCTGCAGCATATTATCCAGGAGATCCAGATGAGATAATAGATGAAGGTGACCATACTAAACAACAGATTTTCAACGTAGACAAAACAGCCATCAAGTGGTAGATGCCATCTAAGGCGTTAACAGCTGGAGAGGAGCAGTCAATGCCTGGCTTCAAAGAGTCAAAGGATAGGCTGACCCTTGTCTATGGACTAATGCAGCTGGTCAATTTAAGTTGAAGCCAATGCTCATCTACCATTCTGAAAAACTGAAGGCCTATAAGAATTTTGCTAAATCTACTCTGTCTGTGCTCTATCAGTGAAACAACAGAGTCCAGATGAAAACACATCTGTTTACAGATAGCATGGTTTACTGAATATTTTAAACCAACCAGAAAAAAAAAAAAAAAAAAAAAAAAAAAAAAAAAAAAAAAAAAAAAAAAAAAAAAACAAGATTCTATTTAAAATATTACTGCTCACACAGGTAGTAAGCAAAGCTCGCACCGGAACAATACAAATGAAATGGAATCAACCTAAGTGTCCAACAATGGATGATTGGATAAAAAAAAATACAGTATATATACATAATGAAATACTATTCAGCAACAAAAAAGAACAAAATAATGACTTTTGCAGCAACATGGATAAAACTGGAGGCCATTACCCTGAATGAAATAACTCAGACACAGAAAGTCAAATACTCCATGTTCTCACTTAGAAGTGGGAGCTAGATGATGTGTACACATGGACGTAGAGTATGGAATGACAGACAACAGAGACCTGAAAGGTTGTGGCAGGGTGGGGGGCTAGAAAGTGGGTGAATGATGAGAAATTACTTAATGGATACAATGTATGTTATTTGGGTGATAGATATAGATACGCTAGAAGCCTTGACTTAGCCACTACACAATCTATCTATGTATCAAAATTACCTATGTACCACAAAAATTTATACAAATAAACGTTTAAAATTACTGCTCATTGACAATGCACCTAGTCAACCAAAAGTTATGATGGAGATGTACAAGAAGATGAATGTTGTTTGCAGGCCTGCTAACACTACATCCATTTTTCATCCGTGAATCAACGAGAAGTTCTGACTTTCAACGGTTATTATTTAAGAAATACATTTCATAAGGCTATAGCTACCATAGACAGTGATGCTTCTGGTAGATCTGGGCAATGTAAATCTAAAAACATCCTGAAAATTACTCACCTTCTAAGTATTATTAAGAGCATTCATGATTCATGGGAGGAAGTCATACCACCAGCATTAATAGGAGTTTGGAAGAAGTGACTTGAGCCCTCATGGAAAACTTTGAGGGGTCTATGACTTCAGTGGAGGAACTAACTACATAGTGTAAACAGAGAACTACAATTACAAGTGGAGCCTGAAGATATGATTGAATTATTGTAATCTCATGATAGTATTTGAATAAATGAGGAGTTACTTATAATGGATAAGCAAATAAAATAGTTTTTTATTTTTATTTTTTCTGAGATGGAGTTTCACTCTGTTGCCCGGATGGAGTGCAGTGGCACAATCTCATCTCACTGCAACCTCTGCCTCCTAGATTCAAGCAATTCTCCCACCTCAGCCTCCCAAGTAGCTGGGACTACAGGTTTGTGCTACCATGCCTGGCTAATTTTTATATTTTTAGTAGAGATGGGGTTTCATCATGTTGGCCAGGCTGGTCTTGAACTCCTGACCTCATGTGATCCACCTGCCTCGGCCTCCCAAAATGCTGGAATTACAGGAAGAAAGTAGCTTTTTTCTTTTTGAGATAAAATCTATTCCTGCTGAAGAAGCTATGAAAATGCTGAAATGACAACAAAAGATTTAGAATATTACATCAATTTACTTGATGAAGTAGCAACAGGGTTTGAGAGGACTGAGTTCAATTTTGAGAGAAGTTATGCTGTGGATAAAATGCTATCAAACAGCATCACATGCTACAGAGAACTCTTTTGTAAAAGGAAGAGCCAACTGATGCAGCAAGCATCAATTGTTCTATCCTAAGAAATACGTGCAGGTAGCCCAACGTTTAACAACCATCATCCTAATCAGTCTGCAACCATCGACATCAGGGAAAGAGTCTCTACCAGCATAAAGTTTATGACTTGCTGAAGGCTTAGATGATTGTTAGCATTTTTAACAATAAAGTGTATTTTAATTAAGGGATGTAATTAGTATTTCTACACATATCTGAGCTACTGCATACTTAAAAGGCTACAGCATAGTGTTAAAATTACTTTTATGTGCACTGAGAAACTAAAATAAAAAGTGTGACAGCTTTATTGCAGTATTCACTTTGTTGTAGTGGTCTAGAATCAAATCCACAAAATCTCTGAGGTATTCCTGTAGCTGCAAATAGATAACCACCTGAGAAACTCCTATGACTACCCTCTTCAAGCAAAGGCATTAGGCGAACAGAAAGCCTAAGAGACTGAAAAGCAGGCATCATCATCCTCTGCCAACAGCTGCTGTAAAATACTAACAGATGTGCATCAAACCTTTCGGGCACTTTCATGCTGCTGGTCAACATGTAGATATAGAGCAAAGTATGCATGCAAGGCTGTATAGGCACATGCATGTCTTTGTGTGTGTTATCAGGGGACTGAAAGTTTATTGCTAAAAATTAAGCCTGGATTAATATTTGAAACAATGTACAAGCAATATAATTAGGATTCTATATTTATTTTTGTGATTATAATTAAGTAAGCATTATCAAAGCTAAATATTAGAGGGCAAATAATTTCCCCATAAAGCAAAGCTTATGAATACTTGAAAAAAACTCTCAAAGCAATCAAAGAATTTGGCATAGTGATTAGATGAAATATATATAAGCCAAATTCTATTCCTTTAAGTTGATGGTCTTTCTTTTGTATTTCATCTATTAGTTTATTCATTCTTTAGCCTGTTGCATACTAACTATTGAAGAAAATTAAACTCTCATAGAGGAGGCCCCAAGATGCCACAGGAAGGATCAAGATTCAGCATGCATCAGCTTTTAGGGAAGGAGATGTGTTATAAGAAGCCTTGTATTTCCTTAACCTTCAGGAAGATGAAGGCATATTCCCTCAACAAGGAAGTATGCTTATGGCATCAGTGAGAAGAAAACATCTGCCTCATATAACAAAGAGTCAGAAGATTTCACTTCAATTTTTCAATATAAATTGAATTGTTAAAATGATACCTAGCCCATGGCTATTTTGAAAATGACTTGCTACAATATAAATGAATCCTTTCATTTAAAGGACAGTAAATAGAAAACCAGATGAAGTATCACTGACGAAATACTGTCCCTGTTGACACAGCATCAAGCCAAAAGAACCAGACACAGATGCACACAGCTTACTGCCCGCACTGTACAGCAGCTCCTCAATCAAAGCTGGGTTGCAATTAAAAGTAAGTCTCTTCTATGACCCAGCTGCAAAGAGCCTGAGGGATTGTATTGCAGAAGATATCTGAGTTAGTTAAGGTAAGTTATTCGGAATTTTCAGAAATCTCAAGGAAGATTACATTTTGTCTTTGCCTGCCCAAATCTCTCCCAGAACTATGCCCATTGCCTTATCAAAACTCAGTAAACTCCCTTTGCTTACTTGGGATAATTTCTAGATTGAATGAAGGGCAGAATTTCAGAGTCTTGACTAGATGGAGGCAGTAGTAAATCTCGAAATCGTTCTGTCAAAAGAAAAACAAAGATCAAGCTGTGAAAATATAAAAGTCATGAAAACAATTTCAAAATGGAAGTATTTCCTATTGGTTTGTTTTGTTAGCCATTTTGACTGCATATCCATCCTTTATAAAAAACTTACCCACCATTTGATGTATTACATATATATATATATGTATACACACACACATTTGTGTATGAATGGGTTATAATATTTTAATCATAAAGATATATGTAGCCATTAAGGATAAATATATATAAATATATTTTATAAAAACAAATATAAATAATATATATTCATGTATTTATTTTAAATATATAAAATTAAGCCTGGATTAATATTTGAAATAGTTACATTTATTTATCCTATAAATTTGTGTAATATAGACATTTCTCCATGCATAGACTGTGGCCCAACATTTCCATTCACAGGGATACACCCTGCAGAAACTTTCACGTGTCTTAGACAGCAAGTATGAGAATGTTCACAGTAGCACCACTCATAGAACAACATAAATGGAAGCAGCTCAGTTGCTCATTGACATGAGAGAATGGACATTCGTGCTTATTCACAAAATGAAGTATTAACTGAAGTGAAACTGAATGACTCCAGTTACAAACAAAAACATAATGAATCATATTAATATAAGGTTGAATGGAATAAAATCCCAGTAGATTACGTATAACAGAACATAATTTTTTATTGAGTTAAAAAAAACTAGGCAATGTATTATTTAAACATGCCATCTATGAAATAAAGCAAACCAATTAAAAAGGAAGGACACACACAGTTCAGAATAATGATTACCTTTTAGGAATGGTAGTGGGATGAAATGGGAGAGAAGCAAAGGGTAAATGTAAGTAATTGTTGGTGTTTCATATGTAATAATTATAATAACATAAGTGAATGAATGAATGAATGAATGAGGGCCTGGAAAAGTCCAATGATGACTGTATACCATGAGCTAAACATTGATTTAATCAACCGCAGTGCAATGAAGTTCATAAAGAAGAAAAGAGAGCGAATAGGAGGGAGAGGGGAAAGAGGAAGGGAGAAGGAAAAGGGGGGAAAAAAAAGAAGGACAAAGGAAAAATCCTAGCTGTTACCTTGGAAATAATGTTGCATAGCTATCCAGATGGCATAGAGTATGCACATTTTCAGGAATAGATATGCATTACTTCTAGAGTCATACCTACCGAAAGGCTTCCTTGATCCCTCCATTACTTTTCATTCTCTCCACCTGCCTGATTTGGAATAGGCTGGCCCTACTGTGTACTACCACTACACCTGTGCTTACATTTTCACAAAATTTATCACACTATGTTTTATTGTTAGATGCATGTATCTCTCCATCCCTCTTCCTCCTTCTAGTAGATGAGTATTGTGCCACCAAGATACAGAACATTATCTGACACATAATTAAGGTGCTGGATAAATATTTGCTGAAGAACTATTTCCAACATCTATTTTTACTGGACAGAGAAAACCGTTTGTCAAGGTTAATCATAATGACTCCCAGAAGAGACCAAATGGTCATCTATCAACCATGAACAGCAAGTGGATCCATACTCCCATCTTGACAAAGTTACACAATCAGGCTGAGATAGAATGCAAAGCTAACACTCCCCACCTACAGTAAATCCATCACTAACTGGAGGTGAGCATTTCCACAAAATAATGAAAATCAACGCTGGATGACAATTGCCATTTCCTAGTTTATGAATAGTTGGATGTTACATTATTTGTGAATACAGTGGTCACATATTAGCCAGTGCTTACTGAGCAGGAGAATGTATATTTTATCTTCACATTTATTAAAACATATAGAATCAGAGATATATAATTGGCTTCTGCTGTTTTTTTCCCTCACCATTCTGACACTTCTTATAATATAGGTGAGGAGGAGCTAATGAGATCCAAACACAGATGTGCTTATACTCTGAAATATAGAAATACAAAAAAGTAAAATGTGTTTTTTCTCTAATTATACTTACTATTTCATTTTAGTTCATATTTTTAAATACTAAATTATATTATTGGCTGATATTACTATTTTTACTATTTATAAAATTAACATTTTTTTCAGTTAAATGTCTACGAAACTGTTTGATAATAAATAACCCTTGGTTTTCAGTCCACTTGCCAATTTATGGTGCACTCATTAAATGATTGATGTGCAATACCTTATTTTTTGGATTTTTTTCTCATTTGGCCTTTTCCTAAAATGGGTCTTGAAATATCAAGCCCAAACTACACAGCAAACAAGAACTTTACATATCAAGTAAAGAACTGTTAAATCAAACAGCTATATTGATTATGATATTCCTTGAAAGCTAACAGTATAAACTGAAGTTTAGTGAATACCTCTCAAACTTATTAAAAGCAAACAAAAATCAGAATCCTTAGTGCACACAACTATAATACAATACATCCTTTTAGCAGCAATAAGTTTTTCTCTTTTCACATAATCATAAAAGACATATGACTATAAATCTGGAGAAAAGAACCTCTGGAGATGACATATTGACAGGACTAAAAACACATACACAGATGTACATGTGTGCATGCATACACACACAAACACAGAGCAGCATAAAAGGCATCACTTATAAAGCCATAAGGAAATCTATAACTAATGTTCCTATATTTGGAACATCCTTTAATCAGATTATCATAAATACAAAGATTAACAAGCAAACATAGCTCAAATAGCTATCAAGATTGTCAAAAAGAGTTCATAGGCAGGGATTGGTGGCTCACGCCTGCAATCCCAGCACTTTAGGAGGCTGAGGTGGGTGGATCACCTGAGGTCAGGAGTTGGAGACCAATCTGGCCAACATGGTGAAAACTCATCTCTACTAAAAATACAAAAAATTAGCCAGGCACAATGGTGGGCACCTGTAATCCCAACTACTCAGGAGGCTGAGGCGGGAGAATCGCTTGAACCCGAGAGGCGGAGGTGCAGTGAGCCACAATCATGCCTTTGCATTCCAGCCTGGGCAAGAAAAGCAAAACTTCATTTCAAAAAAAAATAATAATAATAAGAAAGAAAGAGTTTATATATACATAAAGAGAAAATATATCTACTACTTGAAAAGTATGTGTTTTAAACAATTTTTATTTTTATCATATTAATAAATTCTTAAATATAAACAATTTTATCTCACAAAGGCATACTGAGTATTCATTTTTTTCTCTATAAAAATAAAGATAAATGATAACAACTATCTTAGAAAATTTCAAGTAAATGGAAAAATTATTTATAATTATTTAGTCCTTTAGTCCCACAGATTTTTCCCTATCAATTGTTTAATTAGCATCCTATTCTCTATTTCATTCTGAGGAAAAGACCAAAATAATTTGAAGGTTTATTTGTTAAGTTAAAAAAAAATGGTATATTAATGCTACTTCTTTTGCAGCAAAATGTCAAACCAGATGATCTTCCTTCTCAGCAGGCTCAAACTGTTTCTTAAGAAAATGGCACAGTTATCTAAACACTACAGCTCAGTCCTTTCACAGGACTACTTGGAAGAAATTCATTAAAGCCACTGGAAAAAAATAGGATTTTCTGCACAGTGATACTGTGATGAGCTGACTAACGATGTGATAATGTCTGAACATGATTTTCTACCAGTAGGAGATAGATCTTAATTAACACAAGCTTTTCTAGACTTTCACCCACTCTTCCTTTCTCCCATTCAATCAACAAAAAAGATTATGAGGGTTTTAGACCTGATTGACATACTGTACACAATTACGTTAATTTGCATGATCTGACTAATCAATTGTGACACGATATACTTAATTATTTGAAAATGAAGATGAGAAAAATAAAATACTGTTTTCAATTCTAATTGAATCTTTTCTGTATATTTTTTGGGACCAATGTGTTTCATTTTATCCTTTGCAGATAAATGGCCAATTTCTAATCCACCCAATATGCAGACTACACAAAATGCAATAAGGATTTACGTAACAATAAAAAGCACTATGCTCTTTTTTTTCTTTTTTTTTTTTTTTTGAGATGGAGTTTCGCTCTGTCACCCAGGCTGAAGTGCAGTGGCATGATCTCATCTCACTGCAATTTAGCAGCATGCAAATCTATTCCTGGGATAAGAAGAAAATAAAACCTCTTATCACTACAAAGAAAAAAAGAAAAGAAAGAAAGAAAAAAGAAAAAATGAACACTGATTAATGTTATTCTTATATAACCTAAAGAACCTTTGCCTCTAGAGAAGTGATCACTGCCACCAATTAGTTTTTTCGACAGCAACCTAAGAAGGAGCAATTGCTTGCTAGCGGGACCCAGAAAGGTTTTGCCAATTCCAAATCATTGCTTTCCTTCCAGTAATCTCCCTTACCTAACTGCTTCTCTGTAGCCTCCACTATGAAAATGAATATTTTAACTGTTTTGAGTATTAGATTTTCAGGGCTATAAAAGAAAGTCATAAAATATTTCTAAGTGAGACGGTATTGCTCTAAAGAAAAGGAATCTAAAAAGTTCTCTGTGTTTTTATAAACAGGTAATTTTTTTTCATTTTTCTCTTGATGCTCACATTACACTAATTTGCCAGTTTTATTTTTTTTTTAATGACACCAAAATGAAATCCTTAAGGGATATTAAAGATTAAGATCCTGTTAAAGTCTTTATCTTAGTTTTAAAACACCTAGTATATTGTAACCTATTAATAGTATCAGAAGTTATATTTCAAGGAGCCAGACAATATCTCATACTCTAAAACAAGGGCAATAAGATGACTCTACCATAATATTGATATTATTTCACATTTTTTGGCAATGTAAGTTGAGGATTACTTCTTAATGGAGGACATGCTATCAGAGCGTATGCACAATAAGGGATTACCAAAGGACAAATCTCTCTTCTCTCATACAGTTTGCAGTATTTTCCAGAACAGATCATGAGAAAAAAGACACTGTTGCCAATTAGACCCTTTTTTTTCACATTTGAAAAGCAATTTATTTTTTTATTTTATTTATATTTTTAAT